AGCCATCCCCTCCCCCCCCCAGCTGCCGGTGCCCCTCACTCCCTGACCCACAGCCAGCCCAGCCCAGCCCTGCCTCTCACTCCTAACCCACAGCCCTGCCAGTGTCCCTCACTCCTGACCCACAGCCCTGGGCATCCCCACCTCGCTCCGCCCCCGCTGCCCGGGGGCCAGTACCTGGAGGCCAACCCCCCCTCCTGACAAATCCCCTCGGGATCTCCCTTGAAGTGCTTGGTAGCCTGCTTGGCCTTGTGCTGGAGGTTGCTGATGAAGACAGGGAAGTATCTGGCCTCCCAGAGGTGGCTCAGGCTGGGCCCGGGCTGGTCCTGGATCAGCAGCAGGTGCTGGTGTGTCTGGGGCAGGAGCTGAGGCATGTGGGAGGGTGGGGGGGACAGTTGTTCCTCAGCCCCAGGCCTGACTGCTCCACCAGTACCTGCAGCTTCTCCAGCGCCTGCAGGGCCTTGTCCAGCATGGTCCGCGTGGCCGTGCCCAGAGTGCAGGGGCCCCGGCGGGTGCTCGGCCCCCCTGCAGTCTCCATGGCCCTGGCCAGAGGGGAGATTGTGCTTCCTCCACCGGGACCATCCTACCGCGAACCCGCCCTGGCCCCCCGTGGGCAGGGCTGACCCGAAGTAGGCGGCTGAGTTGGGCAGCAGCAGGAGGCAGAGGGCGGCCAGCAGGCTCCGGGTGCACGTGGTGCCAGCGCTGCGCAGCAGGTAGTGGCGTCTCCCGCAGCCCCTTAAAATAGGTGGGGCGGGGCGAGGGCGGGCATTGCCGGGGGCAGCTGCTTACCTGGAAATACTGCCCCTGGAAATGTGCCGCCCCAAGCATGTGCTTGATTTGCTGGTGCCTAGAGCCAGCCCTGGGAAAAGAGCAGACTCAAATAATGTTCCTTAGGGTTTTTAGAAAGACCATAGTGATGATGTTTTCCTGTATTGCATAGGAGTTTTATTTCCTGGTAGCTGTGTTACTCTGTGGTATTTGTGTGTCTATCAGCCATCTAAGGTCCTGATTCTGCCAGAACTTTTGCATAGGCATAATTTTACACATAGCAGTAAAGGATATCAGATAAGTATTTATTCTTTGTTTCTGTAAACACTTCAGCACATGAATTGTCTCACTAATCCCTCTCAGTGTGCAAAGTGTGTATCTGAGCCTTTATTGACTTTTAATAATAAGCCTTGGAGTACATCTGTGAAGCTGGTAGGAAAGTATCTGTTAGTGATAGGTAAACTGAGATTATTAGTCAGTAGGTGACTTGCTTAAGGTCAATATATCCTGATCTAATGCCCACTACAGTCAATGTTATGTGCGAATCCCTCCTATGGGAGGCATGTGGGTTAAAAGTGAATGAATGTAGGCTCTGAAGTGCCTAAATCACTTTTAAAAATGTGATTCAGACTCCCAAAGCATTTAGGAGTTTTTGAAACATTGATTTCAATAGGTGTTAGATCAGGCTGATGGTGAAAGAATAGGATTCCTCTGTTCTAGAATGTATGCCTCCTCTCTTGTTCTGTCCCCCTTGTTCTGCCACAGCCTGGGTTTGTTAACATTCTGAAACCACTGCAAACCTCATCTTCTCCATCAGGCATTTGAGGGGTGAGGGTTATTTGTTAATATGCTGTAACTAAATTACATGTTTGAATTGGACTATGATTGAACAGTTTGCAATGGATTTAAGCGATTTAATATGATTTTTTTTTATCAACATGAGTTTTCTTTACTGGGAGGAATAAGTAGGGTGGTTCTGTCTGTTTATATTCTAGAAATCTTTAATAAATTTGGCTCCAGTGCAACAACAATTCAAACAAAGTTGTTAGACACATACCAAGGACAAATTTCTATCCAAATGACAGACACCTTGCCAATTTGATTCCTCTGTACTGCAGACACATTCAGAACTCCCACAGATGTAAGCACAAATAGAGGCTCAGTGCACAGAGGGAAAACAAAACGTTCATTATTGTTGGGAGAATTGCCATGCAGTTCTGATTAGATTTTTTCCTTAATTCCTATATTAAAAAAATGGGTGCTTATCTGACAAAAGCTTTTCTGCATCATAGTTTTGACATAAAATGACCAGAAGAGATGCTCCTCTGTAAGATTCAGTCAGAGTAACAACAAAGCTGGACTAGATTTTAAATCTTTTCATGTATGCAAGGAAAGTTTGTAAGATATTGTAACCCAGAGGTACTGAGACTACTGACAAGGGCTAGTGAAGTCTGCTCTGCAGCCTTAGCTAAGAGCCATGTAATAGAGTTACATGGATTAAACCCCTAAGGTTGGAGGTTCAAGCTTTCCTGGCTACGACGAGGGTCTTTTGGCTTTAGAACATGCTTTCCAATAGTATATTGCCAGAAGGTTGTGGATTACCTATCATTTAAAAAAAAAAAACTTATTTCAAAGTGAACATATATTATCCATTCCACTTCTCCAAATAACCACAGCATTTAATATATTACTATCAAAATATTTTTTTAGAGACATTCACCTCTAGGTGGAGGTCAAGTATAGTGCATTTAGTGCCAGTGCACTTATTTTGTTGTTGCATTATGCCTAACTTATAAAAATGGGAGCTTACACAGGTTATACTTAAAGTATAAATTATCCAGTTTTGTTGAAATTGTCTAGAGATTTGGAGTAGAAGCAATGGACAGAAATATTAGACAAAAGAAATATTAGCTATATTAGCAGCATAATTGTTTAGTATTATAGAAAGTTTCTCACTTGGTTAGTGAATGTAGTGAATAATGTATACAATAGGTATAAAATGTAAGCCTATATTTTTTACAAAGAAATTTTAACCCTACAGCTGCCTAGCTAAATTAGTTTGCTAATATTCAGCACAACTCCGGGATAACATTTCTTACATCAGTACAGGTAAGGTTACATATGAATAATTAATTATTAGAGGTATAAATGTGTTGTTAGAAATTTTATATTGGGACTCGAATATCACTTATATTATTATTAACACAAGAAATTACACAGTTCTGCATATGATTATTTAGAATCATAGGGTTGGAAGAGACCGCAGGAGGTCATTGGGTCCAGCTCTCTCTCCAAATAGGACCAACCTCAACTAAATCATCCCAGCCAGGGCTTTGTCAAGCCTAGACTTAAAAACCTCTAGGGATGGAGATTCCACCACCTCCCTAGGTAACCCATTCCAGTGCTTCACTACCTCCTAGTGAAATAGTTTTTCCTAATATCCAACCTAGACCTCCCCCACTGTAACTTGAGACCATTGCTCCTTGTTCTGCCATCCATTACTACTGAGAACAGCCTCTCTCCATCCACTTTGGAACCTCCCTTCAGGTAGCTGAAGGCTGCTATCAAATCCCCCCTCACTCTTCTCTTCTGCAGACTAAACAAACCCAAATCCCTCAGCCTCTCCTCATAGGTCAAGTGCTCTAGCTCCCTAATAATTTTATATCTAATCTTTTTATCATTTGCAGTAAGGCAGGTACTTCTCTAGTCAGTAACACAGCGGGATAATAGTGATTATATGTAGCCAGTCACAGGCAGAGGCATTTACAGAACTTTACCATAGCTGCATTTTGAATTGCTTAGAGGGTGGTTTGGACGAAGAGGATTGGGACTATTTTTGCTCAGAGAGAGAGGCTGAAAAAGAAAATCTTGGGCAGCGTGTTTGCATATAAGAATTCTAGTTGTTTATCAACCTGAAACTGCCTGTTTACATGCAAGTATAGGGTAGCAATTGGGAATTAGGCAAAGTGTTAGGACTAGCAGTTTAACACAGAGATACATTCTATTCCATTTAATTCTATGTTTGTATGCTATGGAACCCAAAGATAAAGACAAAGAACATATCCTTTGGTGGAGGGAATCCATGTGTACATTTTCCAATAACCACATATGGAAGCCATTCAGGCTGCCATACAAAGCCAAAGGCTGTGAGTATGTCACCCAAAAGCCACATCCCATTGCTAATCTAAAATGATTACAGCATCAGGCTATTCTGTTATCCTCCAGCTTGGTTGTTTTCATATGTCTCTTTTGCTGTTGTAAAGTTAATGCTGTTTCCAATGTGAATACAAATAAGAATGTATGTGTGTGTCCAGGACTGATAATGACTGCCACAATATGCACATACATCTCTTGGGTTGAGTATATCTTGCATTAATACATCTAATATTAAATATGATTAAATGCATGACCAGGATAAAAAAGAAAACTTGCTGCAAACATCTGACTTCTGAAGGAGAAGCTCAGTATACCACAGAACAGGCATTATATCACATGTTATGGTAATTGAAATATGATTTTATGTTATTTTAGCATTTCAAATAGGGCGCGGCACTGCCCCCGGGCGCACGGTGCATGCGTGGGCCCACCCGTGGGGAGCAGGCTCGCACCCCTAGGGCACACAGGCCTGCCTCGGGGGCGCATGGCGTATGCGCGGCCCAGCCACAGTTGCTGGCGCACAGCCCGGGCCCGCCCCTAGGGTGCATGGTGCAAGCGCGGCCCAGTCCGGTCTGGGTGTTGCTGCTGGTGCGTGCGCCGGGCTGTGTAGAGCCCCACAGCCGTGGGGGGAAGGGCATTGCTGGCCGGCGTTGCGGGGATGTGGGCGGGCCGGTGCTGGACGCCGCGCACCCCTTAAAGCTGCCATCAGGCGCCCCCCATCTGTTGGCGCTCTGGGCAGCTGCCCAGCTCACCCATGCCTCTGTCCGGCCCTGGCTGGACCGGAGGTCAAGGGAGGGGGAGAAAAGGACCCAACTCCCCCGAGGAGCCACAGCCTGTCCCCGAGCACTTCCAGGCTGCCACGCATGCCTGCTCTCAGTTGACCTGTGCGTCCGTCCCCCCCCCAACTTTTCCCTCAGGCCTGGCCCAGGGAGTGAAGCTGGAGCTAACCTGAATGGCTCTGCTCCCTGGACCAGGGAACACTGATGAGGCTGACCTATATGGCTCCTCCTACCCTGGTTCTTCTCTGCCCTGGCCCCCTGTGGACAAGCCAATGGTCAAGGTGTGCATCGCCTCCCCCTTCCCAGCTGGTCCCAGAAGAAGCTAGAGTGTGTGATGCACAGCCTTCCCCCTGCCTCAGGGACAAGCTGGCAGACGGGGTGCACAGTCCTGCATCCTGAGCCACCCCCAGGAAGAAGCTGGCGGCCACCCCTCCCACCTACCTTGAGCTCCCCCTCCTCCAGATCTCTTGCCCTTATTAAGGTGTGCATCGCCTCCCCCTTCCCAGCTGGTCCCAGAAGAAGCTAGAGTGTGTGATGCACAGCCTTCCCCCTGCCTCAGGGACAAGCTGGCAGACGGGGTGCACAGTCCTGCATCCTGAGCCACCCCCAGGAAGAAGCTGGCGGCCACCCCTCCCACCTACCTTGAGCTCCCCCTCCTCCAGATCTCTTGCCCTTATTTCTTCACCTCCACCCCTCGCCCTCAGCCCCTCAATCTCACTCTTGCATCCCCATCCCCCTTCCCTAAGCCCCTTCTCCTCTCCATCCCTGATTCCTGCATTCCCACACCCACAGCCGCATAACCTGAGCCCCTCCTCAGCCCCCACTCCTGCACCCCCACACCCAAGCCCCCACACAACCCCAAGATCCTACTCTGAGTCCTGAACTCTTCACATCACCAGCCCCCTGCCCTGAAGGACCCAGGCAATGTCAAGTAAGTCTTATAGTCTTACTATATATTTTAGAAATGTGCATGTCTGTGAGTCTGTCATTTGAGTCTGTTTGTTCAAGAACTCCTCCTAAACTGTAAGAGCTAAGACCACCAAATTTGTTATATGAGTTCCTCTTATCATAACTTAAAGCAAGGTCAGAGTTTGGCTGTACAGGACCATGGGATGTGCCTGGAATTTGATTGTTTCTCATAAAATGGAGAGAGCTTAAAAAAACCCTGTAATTTCTTAATAGCTGACCTTTCAGTCTCAGGCACATATACATAGTACCTCTTATCTTCTAGGAGACAGTAATCAGACAATAGTCTTTTATTAACAAGACAAAGCTGACACATTTGGTAAGGCATACTTGGTTGGTAGGTGTTACAGAACAACTTAAAAATGCAGATCAAAAACAGACAATTGCATTCAGTTTAAAAGTTATAGTGCGTGAGTGTGTGTATGGTATAGTAATATGATACATTAAGGTGACCAGACAGTAGCCTTGTGTGTGAAAATGATGCTGCAGACTTGCCATATGTTACTCAACAAAAAGCCTTTTGTATATTAACCTAATCATAACATGCACACAGAAATGTTATAATACGTCCACTCTGAGTTTTCTTTTCAGTTCAAGGAAGAAATAAAACAAGAAGAAATAAAATCAAGATGCCACAAGAAAAACGTGTGCAGATATCACTTCTGTAATATGCTGTCTAAACTGTGTACTACACAATGGCTGCTACCCGTGAAGGTAGCAGTCTCCATAGAGAATTTATGGAAGCAGTACTGAGAAAGCAAAGGGGTAAAAACAATTACACAGTAAATGATGAAATTCCTGTCTGTGCCCATTTTATCCTGGTATTTGGTTAGTATTTTTCCTAAATTTCATAGTATTCAAAATGGAAGGCAGGATTCTTGCCATATGAAGGCATATATGTATATGAAGAGGTTTTGAGAAAGGAGAAGCCTATGTGCATGAAGGAAGGGGTTGCTTTAGAGTAAGACTTCTAGGGTAAGATTTAGACTACATCTACATCTGCCTAGGGAGGCTGTGGAATCTCCATCTCTGGAGATATTTAAAATCAGGTTTGATAGACATCTATCAGGGATGGCGTAGACAGTGCTTGGTCCTGCCACGAGGGCCGGGCACTCGAGTTGATGACCTCTCAAGGTCCCTACTAGTTCTACTATTCTGTGTGTCTATGGTTTTGTCTACACAGCAAAGTTATTTCGAAATAACAGCCCTTATTTCGAAATAACTTTACTAGCGTCTACACAGCCAAACTGCTATATTGAAATAAATTCGAAATAGCGGAACACTTATTACAAATTTGGTAAACCACATTCCACGAGGAATAACGCCAAATTCGAAATAGCTATTTCGAAATAAGTGCTGTGTAGACACTTATTTCGAAATAGGGGGCCTCCAGCCTTCCAAGAGTGCCCTGGTGGCCACTCAGCCTCAATCAAGAATACTTCTCTCCCTGCCCCCTCCCCAGAGCCCTTAAAGGGACAGACTCTGACCACAGTGCCTTTGCCAACTCCGAGCCTGACAGCTCAGAGCCAGCAGTCACTCCTCCTGACCCACTGGCCCCAAAACATGAGCCAGCAAGCCACTGGCAGCCAGCCCTCCACCGCTAAGCCACTGGAAGCCAGCCCTCCACCACTCCCCAGGAGCCATCTGCCAGCTCCCAGGAGCCTGCCAGGGCCCGGAGAAGGTGGGCGCCTTCCTGGTCCAGGGTAGAGATCATGGACCTTATTCAGGTTTGGGGGAAATGCCCCCAATGTCCATGATCTCTGCACTAGACAGAGAAACGCAGCCGTCTATGGCAGGATAGCTGTCAGCCTGGCCACCAAAGGCCACATGCAAACCCAGGAGCAGGTTTGTATGACAATCAAGCAAGCCCCACAACCATGAGCCCTGAGCTTCCCCTCCCCCTTCTTCTCCTTGCTTTGCCCTTCCAGCTCCCTCCTCCCAGGTTTCCCCCTCTCCTCTCCCACCCTCTCTTCTCATCCCTCCTGCCTCCTTTCCCCAGTCTCACCAGAGTTTCATCCCCCCCCCCCAGTTTTGCTAAATAAAGACAGTTTGTGTTTATGAAAAAATGTGTATTTTATTTGACATCAGGAAGGAGGTTTGGGGGGCGTGGGGTAATTGGAAGAACTGGAGGGAGGAATGAGGCGCAAGCCCCCAGTGGGGCAGACCAGGGAGGCTCTTAGTTCTCCTCAGGATAGAAGCTCTCCCGCA